AAAAAAAAAAAAAAACAAGTACATAGGTACATTTATGTATTTTTACTATTTGCTAACCGACTTTATTTTGGTTACGTACGAAATAAATAAACAGAAGGACTACTTAATAATGTAGATATAAGTACAGCATAGTTTAGCGAGTAAATGAATTGACTCTAGTGAATGAAAAGAAACAGTGCTCTGCTTCTAGGGCGAATATATGTGCATGTCTGCTGGCGTTTACTGCAGCAAAAGCACAATAGTTAAAAAGATATGAAATATTTTTACTGTGATGATAATAATGTTTATACAATGATCAAATACTATGACTTGTATGATAATGATTGTAATATTAACTATCCAACGTTTTTTAAAAGGAAAAAGAATTGAAAAATCGCGGAAGGTAATATTCAATTTCCGTGCGTAATGCTAAGTCAACGTTCCGTTCGTTCAACTTCATCCGTTTTATTTCCACTCTCCTTTTCTTATTTTTTTTACTTAAAACGTTCTCCTTTCATTAGTCACCATCAGTTCGACAGACATAACTGCATATATGGTGCTACTACTTACATCACGCTTTAACATTTTTTATCTACTCGATAAGACTGCTCAGCAATGTGGAGATCGTGCCGCAATTCATTCGACGCGCTCTTATCATGAATTACTCATAGTTCTCACGCTGTTATTTCTCATCATGAAAATCTGTCCAAATAACGATAATGAAACATTTTTTAAACTGCCAACCTAACGACAATGCCTTCGTACGAGCGGAGGCATTTCCCTTGATTGATTTGTGTAGTTAAGCGTGACACACAAAGCGTCAAGAAACTGTTATTTCTGTGCCTAATGTCTTTTAAATGCCGTGTACTTCCACGCAAGATACGTTCTGTTTCCGTTGGACGAGTATTTTAGGGGCAGCTTGATTGGAAGAGGTGTACACGTTCTTTTTATGCATGTAGAATTCTACTGGCAAATTCGTTGTTTATGTTCCTGTTCTGTAAAGAATACTAGCCATCTTATTCTACATTTAGTGGGATAAATGAGTAAACCACGTTAATTATAATGCGAAACAGGGTGACTTCCTTTTTTTTTTTTCTTTTTTTTTGTTTGACCAAAAGGAAAAGAAAATTGTCTTCTTCTTTGTAAGTTTCAAATAGCTGTGCCTCTCCTCTCTGAAATTTCAGTGCAATTACTTACACGGATACAATTGAACATAGACAATTTATTCTATATTAGAATGAAACGAGAATATTGTACAGTTTTAACTTAACAAATTGTATCGGAATCAACATCCAACGCGCAATGAAAATTTCAGTTTGCGTCGAAGCACAGTAAACTTCTTAATTGTTAAGATTAATTTTATATTTTACGGATTAACAATGACAACATATTGGTTAAAGACTGTGTAAAGCGATGCGGATGAAACGATCATCCATTTATAAATATTGTACCAATCGGTTTGTAATCACGTGGACGTTACGAGACATTTCATTGTAAAGATGTAAAAGAGGAAGCGCAATATTTTATAGTGTTTCTGATCAATGAGCGACATTAAGTTTCGAACGATACGATTTCGTAAAGTAAGATTTAACAATTTCGTGTAATTAACAGGTTACGCATTCGGAATTGATCGAGTATATTTCATTTCTACGTGCGTTCACTTGTTTTATTTTTCAAACTACTTCTTACTGATTTTTGTACTTGATTATAACTTACAAACTAATAAATAGTTCCACTTATTTCTTACTTTATTGTAACTTGCCATAATTGTATGACGATGAAGAATGTAGGAAATTAAACACGAAAAAAAATGTGGGTACAACTTCCAAATTCACCGCAACTTAGCCCTGCTAATAGGATACATATCGATATCATGAAATCCTTCAAACAATGAGAAACTTGACTTGTTATAATTAGAAGGCTATAATTAATTTGTACAAGATCAACCTATTGTAATAAAGAATACAATCTTGCCTACGATTTGTGTTATTATGTTAGTTTTTAATAATCATTACTATACGGCTGTACTATCACCAATGTTTCAAATACTTCCTTTCCCGAGTGCCTGAATTTATTAACTGAGTGAAACAATAAATCATCAGTTAATAAGATACAACAAATGATTTATTCCACAAAAATAAAAAATATAACTGATAACAAATACATTTTATCATTTGCAAAATAAATTTTAATCAAATAATTGTACAATTGTCAATTAGTTATTTTATTTGAAGCGCTTGTATATACAACGTGTAATTTATTGAAAAATAATTTTGCAAATCAGTGACTTCACTGATGTTTCTCTAATGCTGTGGTCAGTAATTCATTCAATGATTCTAATAATATACGTGGATTTTCAATTAAACCAGCTTCTACCATACTGTTAGTGAATAACTGGAACAGATTAAAAGAAACTTCAGAACAATAATTTAGAACATAAAATATGAAAATATCAGAAATAGAATCCTGACATAATACCTGTTTTATAAGAAGATCTGCCAATTTTGTATCGGTTTTTATTAACTGACAAAGCTTTTTAATGAGGGAATGTTTAGGATTTATCTCTAAACATGGTCGAAGCAGGGTGTACAACATTTCATCTCCCATTTGACGGGTTTGTATGCGGGCAAAATGTCTTGCACTTGCCATTTCTTGGACTGTGATAACACACGGATGTGATTCAAGTCGAGTCGTTGTTTTAATATTGTGTGCTTTTTCGGATAAAGTTTTCTTCATGTATGTTATAAGATCATTAATTTCAGTTTGATTAATAATACCTAAGTAGAAAGAAATATTATAGCAGAATATTTATATAAAATCAAAAACCAGTGACATATCACGTACCAGGACTATCAGATTTTGAATCCGATTCACGTAATTCTTCTTCGATAGAAGTCAGCTTGTGAGAATTAAACTGTCTTAAGTGCAAGAAAATCACATCATCATGTGCTTCATAACAAAATAATACTTCGATATTTCTTTTCTTTAGAGATTCGTAATATGGCGATTGTTCGGCTAATTTTCGGCTAAAATTAAAAAGTAAATCCAAGTACAGTCTTAATTACATATACAAGCAAAAAATTATTAACTTACTTTGGTGCTAACAAATAGTAAATCTTATTTTGATCAGAAGGCATTCGTGCGCAATAATCTGTTAGATTTACCAATTCTTCTGGTGGTTTTGCAGATGACTCAAATCGTAAAAGTTTAGCTATACTCTCCTATTAAAACAAAAAAAAAATATATATATATTAAACTATTATTACGAAAATATAGTATTCGTAAAAAGCAAAAATACATTACCTTCTCTTTCTGATCATCACTGCTCACAATACCTTCTTTTAAGAAGATACTATAATCTTTATAAAATTTATCATACTCCTCAGTTTGTTTCTGAGCTTTTCCATTCAAAAATTTTAACACTCGAGCAGTTACAACATTGCGCAATTTCCTACAGTTAAAATAAATAAAGATTAAAATCATTAGATGTGTGTATAAATGTTACGTATTTCATTTTTACCTATTTTTGCCTTACCCGATCAAGGTACTATTCTGTAACAATTCACGACTTAAATTAAGAGGAATATCTTCGGAATCAACTACTCCTTTGATAAAACGCATCCATTTTGGCAAAATAGTGTCCACCTTACTTTTAATTAAAACTTTACGACTATATAACGAGACTCCGCTTACTTCACCTTTCGTAAAATCATATAATGGTGGTTTTTGTTCTGGGAAATATAGTAACGCTCTTATATTAAGTGGAACGTCAGTTGAATAATGTAATGTAAATCGCGGAGAATCGAAACAGTTTCCAATGAACATATAAAATTCTTTATGTTGCGTTGGCGTAATATCTTTAGGATCGAGCATCCATAATGCCTGAAAAGATACATGTAACAATATGATTTAATGTAAAATACCATAGAAAAATGCAAGCACTTCTATCATACCTGCATAGTATTAACTTTTTTGCCATTAACGTAAATAGGACTATTGATAAAGTTGCTGTACTTAGTTATGAGACCTTAGAAATATTAATATATAATTAATAGAAATATTAATAATTGAATAATCTCATAAAAATTAAATTAAATCACATACGATTAACCGTGTCTTCATCGCTATATTCCCGACATTCGACATTCAGATGTATAACAATTTTTGTTCCTGGTTGAACTCCTTCGGCCTTTGAAATTTTAAATGCATTTGAACTAAGTAAAAAATATTTTGATATAAATTTATATTCCCATATTATATAAAATTAAAGATATTTGTATATTATTCTTTTTACCCATCAGAAACCCAGCAAAGACCTTCAGCATCTGGTGCATATGACTTTGTAAATACTTCTACTTTATCAGCAACCATAAAAGCACTATAAAAACCAACACCAAATTGTCCAATAATTTGGGATGTATCACCGACATCTTGTTTCTCCTTTAATTTTTCCAAAAATGCCTGTATTAAAGAAAAGTATATATTGTAAAATAAAATATTTCATGTAATAAGAAATTAATAGTATACAGTTAAGTCATTTTAATTTATAAGATCAATTTATACCTACCCTAGAACCAGATCTAGCTATAGTTCCTAAATTTGATATTAATTCTTCTCGAGTCATACCAATTCCTGTATCTTGAATTATAAGTACCCTATTTTGTTTATCACTACCAATATGAATTTCTAAACTTCTATCACCAATAATTTCTGCAGCTTTAGAATCACTTAGGCGCATATATCTTAATTTTTCAAGTGCATCGCTTGCATTGGAAATTAATTCTCGTAGAAACACCTTCAGATCACATAAAAGAAAGAAATTTGTTTCCAAAAGTTAAAAAAATATTTAAGTTATTCCATATAAGATAAAAATGATGTTACCTCTTTATTTGAATACAACGACTTTGCCACAATTTGTAAAAGCATCTGTGTTTCTGATTGAAATTCATGTTTAACTCCTTCCTCTGCGAAAATTAAAAACATGTCACATAAAAGATATGTCTATTCTTATAAAGAAAAATGTGTTGCAAATACCTGTAGATTTTTCTATATCTTGTATAATATTATGATTTTCTGTGGTTTTTGTTGCTGTCTGAGAGGAATAGCTTTGTACCAAATTGCCCGTTATAGCTATACATATGTTCAAAAGTCAATTAGTGAACTAATTTAAATAAATCATTAAAAGTAAATTGATTGAATCAAATATTATACTTATAATATACAATTACATAAATATTCATTGCATTTGTTTTATATGATCAACGAAAATATACATATAACCTCAAAATTTATTTAATTGAAAAAATAAAACAGAAATAAAAATAACATGACGTATGTCTATACAAACCTGAGAACCGTTGGCATTGTTTTTCTAAAATTCGTCTTCCAAAACGTTGACTTAACGGTCTTGAAACATTTTTCCCAAATTTAATCGCGAGTCGCAATCTATGAATAGTAGCCATGTTTTCGAAATAACTAGAAATAACCTTCCCACTCTTTTGATTCGCGTTTACACGTGATTCTGACTTAACCATTCATTCATAATATAAAACAGTTGTCTCATGCAAAATCTTTACAACATTTAAGCAAAATTTCACATTTTATAGTTGTATATTCAAACTACTCGGCAATAGAAATTTTAAAAAATTTTAATT